CCATATATAACCCAGATGTTTTCTATGTGGTGCCCATTACAAGCATCCACGTTACCCTAAGTTCACTAATTTATCCACCAGCAGCTTGGACCCATGAAATGCAATAGACAACAACGGCGATGCAGATACTTTGTCCTACAGATAGGGGATCTGAACGGACATGGATCGGCTGGCAGAACGCTAAAAAAGACCCAGCAGCAATCCAGCAGCTATGTCCTTACAAAATGGGTCTTTTGTTTTTGACATCTTGAGGCCAGAGATCCGCTTTGAACAGTGAATTCCATATAAAACATCGGGGCATGACCCCTGCATAATGTCTAATCTTGAGATGGGCAGCTACCCGGGGCATTGGTGCTTAGACCGGTCAGTTTGTACAGCCTACTTTTTGACACCCCTACTCATTTTGTAGGGGGGGGTATGCCCCCCAGGTTTATACCTACAAAATGGGGCCTTGACCCCTTAGGGGTAATTGTAAAGGGGATGTTTAAAGGATTTTGAAGGAATCATCAAGGGTGGAAGTGGAGAATGCATGGTTTCCGGGCTCGTTCGGGTGAGCATGTGGAAACATCCGAAGACCAAACAGATGGTTTTCCACTTCCATGATGATTTCAAGGAGTGCATCAAGGTGGTCGTTCTCCGTGTGTAAAGTACAACGGCGTTTGTTTCACATTGTTGCCAGGTGAGTGTAGTAGGTCAAAGGGAATGGTGGTGCTGATATTGGGTGTACAGGGTGTACTCCATGTCCAGTGGCCTTTCGCAAGGATATCACACTCCTATTGAGGATGAAACAGGAACACTGCTTGAAGTGGGACTCTCCAAAACCACCTTTCTTCTTTCCAAGACAACGCTGTGGACACTTGCTCCTTCAGGTCTGGTAGGAAAAACCACCGTCTCTTTTCAAAAGGCTCGGAGGTCAACTTGAAAAACCAGGCTCTGGGTGTTCGCCCGAACCGGAGAAGCTCACATGGCTAGTAAAACATGTTTTTCCCGTTCTCGTCGTCACAGCATGTTGGACTCACCATGACTCGGTCTCAGAAGTCCAGATCTCCCAACCCTCAGAGTTGAAACGATCTCTGAGGGACCGGGGCCCTGTGCTCGGGCGGAGCGTCGCGCCGGTCTCGGGTGCGCGAATCGACTCTGCCTCGGTCTCGGGTGCTGCGGGAATGGAGTCACTGCTGCTGCCGAATCGAGGTCATTCCGAATGGATTTGGGGACGTACCCTATGACATACTGCAGGTTGTAGGGCTTTCTGAGGGTTGAGGGGTTGGAGACCAGGATGCCAAGCGAACTTTGAACACATCGGTGAAACGGAACGAATCGCTTTTGAAGATGGTTCACCTTGAGTGAACCAGCCATGGGTGCCAACCATGGAGTCCCATGGCCGTGGCCCAATGGATCTTCGAATACTGAGAGTTCAGGTGGATGGTTCCGTAACTTGTGGCCGCCCCCCCACCTGGTTGACAATGACCAGCTTGAAACCTGAGGGCAAGCAGGGCTTCTTAGGCGGCAGTTCGTGTTTGCACCAGAGCGCAAGCAGCAGGTATGGAATTAGGCAGACAATTACTGGCTGGATCATTTCAAGTTGCAATGGATGCTCCATGATGACTAATGGTGTCTTTGGCAGTCCAAGTTGAGAAACGATGACCACCTAAGCCACTAGCATCCGCTAGCAATGCATAAAGTGCAGGTTGGGTGGGTTGAACATGTTGAACCATTTCACACCTTCTTTAAATATGCCTTTGTCGATTTTTAAAGGAGCTGATCCTATGAACCGTTTCCATGTGAGCTACGCAGCGGCCTGTTGAACCTGTTGTGCAACTGCCCCGCGGTCGAAGCGGCAGAAATTGGGAGAGGATGCTTGAGGATGCCCAGACGAAAGCGAGGTACACTTTCACCAGCAGCTCCATACGGGAAGTCAGACACCTGGCGAGTTTCATCTATTTTCACGTCCGAAAGGGTTTAAGATGCAGTGCCTTTCCGAAATGTGGCTACGGCATATGCTGTCAACAATTTGACAAGCTAGTTCTTTGATCGCTGGTCATCCAAAGCATCAGCGGTAGTTGGTGCAGGACAGAACGCGTCACCACTCGAAAAGAAGCGCTTGGTGTGAAGATCAATCCACACACCCCAGAGCTACGGTAAAGAGCGCTGCACTTCACTGGTGACCCCTTGGTTTTGCGACTTCTTCTGCCAGAAGAAGTCGCTTTGCCCACCGTTTCAAGTTGTGAGCTGGTCATAACTGGTCGCATTGCTTGGAGTCCCTTCCACCAGCGTTTCTTTAAAGGCTTCTTGCAGGGCGTCTGTCAGGGTGCAGGGTGTGTCGAATGATGTCGAATGGTCGAATGGTCCTGTGTCCATCTCGAACCTTGGATCGAAAAACCAACATAGTTAGAGCAGACTTGCTTGGAGCCTGGGTTTTGCT